AGAAAAAAGGCGTCAGCGATGGCTATGAAATAAATCGCTGTCATTTTATATGTAAAATTATTCTAAAATTTTTGATTTTCTTGGGATTTAAGTTCGGGAAAAACGCTGATTAAGTTTTCATTTGGTTTTTCATTATTTTTATTTGGTTTAAAAAAACGTTTCGGGTAACATTATAGCCTTCATCAGTGTTGTCATATATGAAAAAATAGTGTCGAATATAATCCAAAAAATTAGATATAAAATATTCACACCACACACCACATAATGTTTACTACAATTAATAAACTAATATAAACTTGTCAAAAGATGACCACATATTTTTTTAAATTATTATTCTTAACACTAAAACTATCTACATTGACTATGGAGTGCGATTTCAGCCATAGTCAAGTGGGGCTGTTCTATTAGAGACGGCATTGCGTCAGCAGGGCCGGGGCCTATGGCCCCCCCCTCTTTATCCGCCACTGTACATAGACAAAATGGGAAAATACTTCATCACTGAGTGCGCCGAGACGACAACCATTCGTGATTCGTGCCATAAACTTTGGTACGATAGATATCGGGGATGGAGAACTAACTATCTAATAACTATGCCATATATGTAGTTTGTGAATTATCGCTGGTCAAAATTCCTTAATTTTGACAGTGACTGAACTTACCGATCATCAAAATTCTAAGGTACTTCTAGAAATCTTACAAACTTTGAATTTTAGTTAGATTTTGGCGTATATAAATGAGGGGAAAATGAAAAATCCGGAAATTATTTCATTATTAACTAAAATAACTGACCTGTGGTATTTCTTCAGACCGCACAATTTTTGTAGCAGAAGAACTGCGTTGCCTTTTTTTCATTTTATGTAAATTATTTTTTTTTACTATGTACGCCTTATAACTGAATATCTCGTTTATTTTTATTTTGTTTTACAAAAAGAAATATGTTTGGTAATCTGTTATTAACGTTCATTGGTTGCCAAACGTCAGATTCTTTGTCTGAAAGACCGTTATTGTGTTTAAAGAAAAATAATTATATTGCATTGGGAGCCAAGTATTTCTCTCTGAGAATATAATGCTAAAATTGTATTTATTTATATCTTGTTAGAATTTAGAAGTTCGTAACATGTGCCATATTGTTTGATCGTTTAACAATAACGAAGCGAAATAATATTGTTTATTTTAATTGAGCGTTCTTGATGGATTTAATTTTCTAATAATTTTAAATATAATGTATGTTTATTTAACTTTCCGGATTTTGTTTAATATATTTTTCACATGTTCTTATTAGACTATTAAATAATGTTTTTATTTATACAAATAATAACTGAATATCAGAGGTAATTAAAAATTTGCCAACAATATAATTTTTTTTAGTTTAAAATAATTAACTTTTTAACTACCTATATGCTGTTTTTGCTACTCCCCAGGCGTTAAACGCTATATACGGGAGCTATTATTATTATTAACTACCTATATGTTATTTTTATCTAAATAACGTATGATTTTTAGAGTTTCGTTAGCTCATTGATTTTTGTCGTCAGGCATTCTAAATAAAGTAAAAGTATTTTTCTATAAAACAGATAAATGAATAAGAGTTCAGGCTCGGGTTCAGGTTATTCACCGCCAAAAAACCACTAGTATTAAATCAATAATTTATTTTCCTTATTATAGTGTTTTTATACGGGGTGGTGCATCGTTGTTGGAAACAGAAAATCTCAGGCAAATGTTGAACTGCATGTCCAAATATTGGCTCTCCTGTTTGTTTTAGAGCGAAGTCCTAAATAGATTTTTTTAAAGGTCTGCGTTTAATAAATACATATGTTAAATTTGAACAAATTTGAACCAGAGCCGACCATAACTAATTTAATAAAATTCACATTTATTTTTAATTTAAAACTGAACAGGAAACAACGCAAAAATTATTTTAAATTGCCCTTAATTTTTAATGAATAAGATAAAAGTAATTGTCCACCATCTCTGTTTTATCTTTTATAAATTATAAGTCTAAGTCATCTATTTTTAAGCCAATTTAACTATCTCTAACAATTTTATAATTAAACAATTGTAATACTTTAACTACAGGGTTGTTCACCACATTCGACACGGAGTATTGTAGCTAAACGATGAGATTTTTACAAATTGTAAGTTTTGGGTTCGATGAAGGACTATTAGAGGTACAATTTAAAAATAATTTTACGAGATACAGAGTGTCCCAAATAAGTAAAAAATATCAAAGTTGTATTTTTTTAAATGGAACACCCTGTATATTATTACATTTTTAGTTTCTACGATTAAAATAAAGGTAAATTTGATTAAGGTTTATTATACTTAAACCTTACCGTTTTGAAATATTTTTCAATTTTGTGAAATTGCAGTAAAAATTTTAAGGCTTCATTTCTCCAAAGGGTATCAAAGTTTTTAATACTAAATATTTACTGAAGTTTATTTACTGATCAGTTATTGTGTTGCAATAATAAAAATAATACTACCTTATACAGAGTGTCTAAAAATTTATTTTAAATAATTATTAGCTTCAAACGGCAATATGCTTGTTTAATTTAAATGGAACACCCCTCTATATTTTATGAGAATCAGATGCACAATTTAATTGTCTATCAAATTATATTATATACCATTTTTTACCTATCTCTTTAAGTTTCCGTAGAAAATTTATTTTCTTGTAATTTAGAACTTATTTATCAATATATCCATGGACTATTGACATTTTAGATTATTTTTAAAGATGTATCAAATTTTTAAAGAGTACAGATACTAATATTGTCGATATAATTCGTTTATTTCATTAAAAAATAAAAAAAAACTGTTCAAATATTTGTTAAAGAGGACCAATTAATATGATCCAGTATTCAAACTACATTAACTGACTGTTTGCATTGATTAATAATAATTGCTCCAAATACTAAAAAACTGAATTTTGTATGGGCATTAGACAGTGTGATAAAAAGTAACACCTTAAAAATGAAATTTCATTTTTCATAAATACTTATTTATAACAACAGAGACTTTAATTTGATAACTTATTATTATATTGATTTCTGACTCAAATCCACATTTATTTATAATAATTTATTAACGAACACAATTAAGTATGTAATTAATTAGTATATGGGCGGAAATAATGGTGTTATATTTAATTAATGGTATACTCTTTCATAAAGATTTAAATAGTTTTCTTTTTGCATACAAATGGGCTAGTAATATTATCGTTTTGCTAAAAACGATAATATTACTAGTCTGTACATTTTGTACATTTGTTGCTTTAAAAACAATCTAAAATGTCAATATTCCATGGATATATATAAATGAAGTCTAAATTATAAGAAAATGCATTTTCTACGAAAACTTGAAGGGATAGATAAAAAATGGCATAATACAATTTGATAGACAATTTAATTGTGCACTGATTCTCCTAAAATATGCAGGGCATTCCATTTAAATTAAAAAAAAGTTATTGCCGTTTTAGCTAATAATTATTTAAAATAAATTTTTAGACACTCTGTAATAAGGTAGTATTATTTTTATTATTGCAACACAATAGCTTGATCAATAAATAAACTTCATTAAATATTTAGTATTAGAACATTGATACCCTTGAGAAATGAAAGCTTTAACATTTTACTGCAATTTCCTAAACTTGAAAAATATTTCAAAAAACGGCTAAGGTTTAAGTATAATAAACCTTAATCAAATTTATCTGCTATTTTTAATCGTAGAAACTAAAATGTAATAATATACAGGGTGTTCCATTTAAAAATACAACTTTGATATTTTTTATTTATTTGGGACACTCTGTATCTTGTAAAAATATTTTTAAATTGTAGCTCTAATAGTCCTTCAACGAACTCCAAACTTACAATTTGTAAAAATATCATCGTTTAGCCACAATACTCCGTGTCGTATGTGGTGAACAACCCTGTATATGTAATTTGTAAAATGTCTTCTATTGCTTGAGTTTTGTTTATTTGACTGTTTCTATAAAGTTTTTACTTCTTTGACTTTGTTCTGTGATACTTTAGCTTGGGCCTGAAGATGAGACCTCACCATCTCAAAACATGTCGCCTATTTGTAAAAAAGTTTTATTTTTAATGTAAGATTGTGGGGATACAGTGTTTTTATTCCTTGATTAGAGGATATTTATTATTCCTAAATTTTTCACTTAAAATGGTGTACTAATATGCAGAATTTTATGCCGAATCCAATGCAGTAAAGAAATATGGGGGTTGCAATTAAAAAAAGACTTAAATTGATTTATAAAACACCATATTTTTTTCCAAATATTTGAAAAACTACAAAAAATTGGCAACAAAATATTGTTGCTTGTTCACAACCCGGTTCTCAATAGATCACTGAAGTTAAGCGACGTTAGACGATGCGAATGGATGGACTGGTGAAATTCTTTTCTCTTTTTAAGATCCTAAGTATAATATTTATTATGTTATGTTTTATAGATATATTTGAATTTTTAATTCAATATTTTAGGGCTTTTGTCTCAAATTCAGTTAAGTTGGTTTATGTTATTTGATAGGGAAATGTAAGTTACCTATATTTTTTCTTTACTTGTGTTCATGCTGATTTTTTTATTGATTACTTAATAATTTGATATTTTAATTAAAAATCTCAATTTTTTATCCATTTTACTTTGAAAAACCATCCCTTGCTTTCTGATTGATGAACAACACCAGCATTGAACAAAAATTAGCCAGTACCGAAAGTACCGAAAAAACCGGGAAATCCCAATTCCAAAGAGGCGCAGTACTAAAATTCCCGGTTCCGGAAACCCTAGTAAAAACTGTTTAAAGCAATGCAATACAAAACATATTTTGTTTAAAAAATAAATGTAATACTTGTATTTTTCAACCCTACATAAAAAACAGTGTATTATTTGTAAAATACTTAAATAAATTAGACAATTATATGGATGTAACAAAGGACTGGGAGAAACAATCCTCCTCAAACCGTAAAACAACCCTAAACCTAAAACTAACCTGCATCCCCTGCACTTTCGCCCGCGCCGTTCATATTCTCCGTCCCGTCCACTTCGAAGTACATCTCTCCGGACACCCTATCAGCTCTTCGCCGTCATCGTTTGGCCGGACAGCTGCCGCGGTGGTCGCGCACTGTCAAAAAACGGACTCGCTCCTGCCACGCTCAACGTCACACTACTGTCATACCGTCGCGGCACCGACAGAAGTCACGAAGTCAGACTTTCCTTGGCAGTTCCCTTGATATTTCCATGGTAATTGATGATGGATCGATAGCACGGGAATTGGGTTGTGCTGGCGGTGTCGGTTATAGGCGATGTGTTTTCGCGGCACAAAAACGGCGGCTAGGTGTTGTTGGTGCAGATCGATGCACTTGGGGGGTCGTGGCAACCGAAGTTCCTGGAATAAGTTTAAGGATAAGTTAGCGTGCCGTATGCGACATTCTATTGTACAGGATGCAGGGGCGTAGATAGGTGTATGCTATGAGGGTGGTACTATGATTAAGTCGCAAAAAAACACCGTCGGAATTTTTTTGTCGAATTAAAACGACGGCGATTTTTTTGTCCTCAAAAAGATATAAAAACATAATACAAAAATTAAAATATAGATTTGTAAATAACATAAACAAAAATGAAACAACGACGTTTATTAGTTAATTTTCTATCAACTATAAATAAAAAACTCTAAACTATCAAAAAAAACTATAAAAACAATAAACTATAAATAAAACTACAAAACAAAATCAAGTTTTCTAGTACGCTGTTTGGAAAACCTATCAATAACAGCATCAACATTTTTTTCAATATCTTTATGGATATTGATTAGAGTTAACCCCACTAATCTGTCCTGGCCAATAAGAACACTTTGTGTGCTTTTAATTAGGTCGAACATATTATAAACGATAAATCAACATAATTAAAAGCATACAAAGTGTTCTTATATGTCGGATATTAATTAAAAAAAATCCTTTCATAGTCAATGACTATTTCAATTCTCGTATCTCGTCAAGCGTCAGAGGGGGGTAGTGTCCCCCAGTACCCCCCCCCTTATCTACGCCCTTGACAGGATGTCCCATTTTCATGCGTTTTACAGAGTTTTTCATTTATGAGTAGAGACACAATGCAGTTTTCACTTGACTGTGCTATTTTTTATGAAATTAAAGATAATACACACCGATCTGTTCCTAGAAATACAGGGTGACTTTTTTGCAAAAAGCGAAAATTTTGCATCTTTCGACTCCCCTTGTATCTCGGTTATCCATTTTTTTAATTTAAAAAATGGATCGAGGAATGTGGACAGATATAACATTCCTTCAGGATGGATTAACCTGGTATACAGACGGGTCAAAGACCGCTGAAGGTACAGGAGCTGGAGTATTTGGGGAAAGACCAAGGGCAAGCTTATCCTTTTCCTTGGGTAAACACTCAACCGTATTCCAGACAGAAATCTTCGCCATTCTACAATGTGCGAGAGAAAACAATAGAAGAACTTATTCAGGTAAGTTTATCAATATATGCTCAGACAGTCAGGCGGCATTTGGGGCGCTTATGAGCCCAAAGGTATCGTCTGGGAATGCCTGGGTGAACTGGGAGCTCTGGCTCGAAGGAACATAATTAAATTATTCTGTGTGCCGGGCCATAGCAGCATCCAAGGTAACGAAAAAGGCGATGAGCCAGCTAGGCAGGGATCATCGGCATCCAATCTTGGTTGTAGAGCCAGTAATTGGAATACCCAAATGTCCTTTGGAGAAACAGACAGGGCACAGGCACAGCAAAGCTTTTATCCAAGGACCTAGCTCTAAAACCGCAAAAGAACTGATAATGCTTAGCAGGAATAAAGGTATCAAGGAAGTCTTTGCTGCAGACTCTGCGATATAGATCCTGAAACAGCGGAGCACATAATATGTCATTGCGAGGCTCTGAATCGCAAGCGATACTTTTTATTTGGGAAAGCCGGAGGAACTATGCTCCCATCCTATCAAGGACCTGCATAAGCTAGTGCAGGGCACAGGGATAAGAGAATGGGTGCAGATATAGAAGGGGAACAAACACAATAGGCCATACAGGTCGCAGTACTTCCGGCAGAGGACGGCCCCTTGCTCTGAAAAAAAAATATCGGTTATCGAAAAGGTAAAAAAACGAGTTCCGTAGAGTCTCACATAGAATCCAGTGGCGTGAATAGTTTTATTGCTGAGAGCTGTCATTTTGGAAATATGACTCAAGCTTTTGTATTTTTTAAACGGGACACCGTTATTTTGGGCTTTCTAAAAATATATTATACTTTATACTTATATTCATAAATAAGGTAAAAAATGCAATATTAACCTTTTTAACATAAATCAACCTAGTTTAAAAGAGTATTATACAGGGTGACCCAGAAATCAGTGCATATATTAAGGGGTGGTAGATCTGGTCAAAAGAAACATCTTTTCTCTTTATCATTTCCTAAAATAAATTCTGCGGCCGAAATATACTAGGTACCAGTTAAAATATTTGCACTTATTTCTGGGGCACCCTGTATAATTTTCTCTGTTTATTTTCTCTTAATAAACTGTACCGAAAATAAACTTTTGCAGCTTTTGGCTAACACGACCCTATCAATCAGAGTAATTGTTATTTTTGACGGACTTGTGCCACATAATTCTACACACAGAAACTAACGTGGAATAGCTAAATAACCAAAATTTGACGTCGAATTTGTAGCATATTTCAAGAATTACAGTTGAGGGTTGGAACCTTTGGTATTACACAGCAAAATAAAAACACTAAATCACCACAATACCCCAAAACACTTTTACTTTTACATTGGACGCGCGTTTTGCTAACCATGTTAGCATCATCAGCATGTTTATAATCATCTGCTGATGATGCTAACATGGTTAGCGAAACGCGCGTCCAGTCTAAAAGTAAAAGTATTTTGGTGTATTGTGGTGATTTAGTGTTTTTATTTTGATTTTTATTTTTTATTTTGATATTTCAAGAATCTAATAATTTTAGCAAATTTCATCAAAAATCTAGTTACTGCCACTGAGTTCTACGTGAAAAACTCTATGGGGCCCAGTCTTCATCCTAGTGTTGGTATCTGAAGCTAAATTTTTATAAAAAAAAACATAATGGTAAACCTGCATATCTATATCTGTTAGGGTTTCAGAGTTACAGGGTGTTTTTCGAAAATGTACATTTTTAAAAACTTGCGGAAACTATTGAAAATTTTGTGCGTCTCAAAAGTGGCTCACCCCTATAACTTTTATATTTTTCCAGAGAAAAAAAAACGAAATTTGGCAAGAACATTGTTAAAATGACACCAACTTTTGATTTTTAAATTGCGGCCGTTTTTAAAATGACACTCTGAATAGAATGACATATCATATGACAACTTTTGACATTTTTGCTTAAAAAATCGCATTTTAAATTTCAATCTAGAGTACCATGGCTGTGTTAAAAACACCAAATTTTTGTCAAGGAGCCTTGGAAAAATAGATTTGATCGTCTAATATTTTTAGTGTCTTGTGTTGGCCGGTTAAAACATGAACAGAATTTTTCATCATATTTCACTTTTTCCAAATCAAGCGGGGGTGGCTCATTAGCATATTTATAAAAGGCATTTTTTTACGAATAATTTGGTATCACATACTTAGTATTTTGAGTCAAATTGTCGTTATGAACCGCATGTTACAATTTCAATTAAATCATATGCGAAAATGTCAAAAGGATGAACCAAAAAACAAACTATCGAGAAAAGACGTTCCTAGATGATAAAATTGTTTATATAGTCCTTGCTTTGTTAACATATTCCACAGGGTGTTTCAAACTTTCACCAAAATATCAACATTTTGTTTTCCCTCGTATAATAGACAGATGGAAACATTCATTCTTAATTTAGAAGAGATACTAAAAAGACAAATCATTTAGCTGCAAATTACTTCAAAAATCATCAAAATCGATAGACCACTAGAAATAAAACAACACACAATCCACAATATACCGATTTGGTAATTTTAGAAGTGCGGTCTGGATTTTAACGTGTAAGACAGAGAATAATATAAATGACCGGTTGACAGACAGAGAGACAAAAACAAAAGCGGCATACAGTGTTGCCGGTTTTTACGTTTGTAGGAAAATTTGTGTAGAAAAAAAACTATTTTAAAAACTTTCATGTATACTACTGAAATGAAGATAATATATTAAGCTAAATATAATCTATTACATCTGTAGTAAAATGAGTAAATAATCGTGAAAAATAATGTTCCAACCCTAGATGCAACATTTTCCATAAACGCCTACTTGTGCGGTTTGAACTTTTGATGCAAAATCCGGCAATACCGCATAGAAGAAATGTATCAACCCAACTTTTATCTCTTTTTAATGCATTTGATTTTCCATTTAGCTGCCTATATCGCTGTCTTACACGTTAAAATCCAGAGCACACTTGTGAAATGACCAAATCGGTATAGAACTAAATACATCAAAATTTCGATAGAATCGAACATTTAAGGAGATTACTTTTTATTTTTTACTTTTTATTAGAATTTACTCTTACGGATTTTGACCACTCTATACCGGGTGTTGCATCGTCGGACGGGACATAGGAAATCCCATGTAAATTTTAATGGGGTCAATTATGGGCTTCCCTAATTATTTTAGAGAATAATTCTATTTAGGTTTATTGAAGAACACTAAGACCCACATTCAAAAGAATAACTTTAGATATTTTTGATTAACTCGTTTACGAGTTATCGCCGATTTCTTTTTAAATATTTGTCTCCTTTCTTATGGCCCTGTATTTACTTATGAACACCAGTCAAGGTAAAAGATAACTGTCAAATAAAGTTGTCATTTCAGAAATTTACCTATTTAGTGCTTTATTTATTGAAAACCAAAGTTGAAAACTCATTCCTACATCGGAAATCTTAAATATGTATTTATAAATACAAATTAATATGAATTAAAGTAAAATAAAGTAATCAATTACAAGGTTAATTATAGTATCATTACAATATTCAATAACTTATTAATTTAGGTACTATTAAATTGTTAGAACTTTAGGATTTAAGAAGATGTTCAAATATTCCTCCATCGACTGCTAGACAATAACCCAGGCGATCATAAAATTCTCTTCTTACATTCGCTAGTTGGTAAACTGAAATTCTATTGTATTCGGCAGAAATAGCATTTTTTAACTCGTCTAGATTTGGGTTTTTTTTATCCTTGTATATCCTGTTTTTTAAATGGGCCCAGAGAAATAAATCATTTGGCAAAATATCAGGAGACCTTGCTGGCCAATTTACTGTATGATTTAGGCCAATAACGCTTCGGTTAAAACTATTGTCTAAATATTCCCGAACAGCCAGGGTACTATGTGCCGGGCAGCCATCCATTTGGTACCAAACTTCCTGATTT